ATAATAATGATAATATTAACTAAAAATATACTGAAAAGAAAGAAGCAGAAATTCAATGATAAATATGATGACGACAGTTTTACAATACATAACCTAATGAAACCAAACACACCAACAACAACACAACCACCGAAATTTATGAAAAAGGGCACGCCGAGAGAATTTATTGACATTGCAACCAACACAGATACAATCGCCACAGAAACCAGAGAGACTCAAGAAAAGTTATACAATGATGCAAACCAACCATTAAATATGACATTTGAAGCATTTAAGGTAAAGGAAAACCAAGACAATATGTTTAAAATAATGCTTAAAAACTTTTGGCACAACACACACAAGAGAAATGAACCAACAAGAACACACGCAACACAAACACTGAAAAACCAACGCGACGCGATGGTGTCAGCCTTTACTAAAATGCTCGACAACAACAAACCGCCAGAACCACCGCCAAAGAAACCGCCAGACGAGGATGACAGCGATGAAGAAGAAAAGAAGTTCAAACTGACAAAAATGATAGAAATAATGCTACACAACGGCGCTACAGTAGCAGATATCATATTAAACTTATCGCACAGCGCAATTGCAACAACTATAAATATCGCAGATTTAGTCAATCAAATAACAGCAGGAAATGCACAAGCTAGCAGTAGTTCTTCTAATGAAATTATTAGTGTTCATAGTTCTCCACCTGTTACTGTCCATAGTTCTTCATCTGAAAGTCCAACAGAAATACCAGCACCAACTGAAGACGAAGAAGAAGAAGAAAACCAACATTTCAATTTTAAAAAATTAAAATCTAAATAATATTATATATAATGGGTATTGGTCAAAGTAAAGACGATGAAAATAACAGTATGGAAGACATTAAGAATTTAAGAGTAGATGAAAAAACAAGAGCAGATACTTTAATCATTAAATCTATTCAAGAATGTGTGACACGAATTGAAAAACTAGAGAAAGAAAAATCTGACAAATTAATATATAAACTTCCTGCCTTACAATTTTGCAATGCTTCGTTAATTTAAATTAATAATATTAACATATAATAATATTATTAATTGCTATCATAATCTGTCATTTTATCCTCTGGTATTGTTGTTGAAGTAGTACTACTTATATCATCTATTAAATCTTCTTCATCAACAAAAAAAATATTTTGAAATCTTAATAATTCCTCGTCTGTTGGTCGTCTTTTTAACACTTTATAAAGTTTATGTATCCAAGAATTAGTATGAAAGTTATAATTACCTCTACGATAAAATCCACCACATCTACATAGTTTCATTGACATATTATTATATTATATGAAATTAGAATATCTTTATTCATCATTCGTAATTTGAAACGCCTGTTCAAATCTGATATGAAACATGTTGTTAATGTCTTTAGCATTCATATTCACGTAGAAGAAACTATAAGGTGCGTCATTAACGGCTTGATGATACATATCTAATAATTGCTGTTTATCAACAATGGCGCTATTTTCTTCAATAAAACTCATTAACTCACTTGCATTTTTCAACCTAAAAATATATAATGAACTGGCATTTAAACGAATGATAGGCGCTAAAACATTATATTTTTGTGTTGAACAAATTACACTTACTGCATCGTGCCTACCTCTTGTAAATAATCCATGTAATAATTTACTATATCTAACAAATTTAGGATCGTCTGCGTGGTCATCTATAACGATTAATATTGAATGCAGTTTCTTTATCTTTTTAGATTTCATATAATTAATTATTTTCTTCTGTCTTTCAATTACATTTTCTAAATCACTTGGATTATAATTATCAAAATATATTTGTTCTTTTTCATCATTTACATGTAGTTCATCCCTAATATATTTCTTTACTTCTGTAAAAGTTGGGTCATTATGAACGCTGGGCGAAAATATAAATATTCTTGCAAATGAATTTCTATAAACATTTAAAATAAGATTCTGAACTAAAACTGTTTTTCCTCCCGTCGAACTCGCAACTATAATACTTCTAAATGGTAATTTTGGCACGTGCTCATATTTGGATTGTTTGAATTCATATTCAGTTATGTTTATTGGTTTTATTATTGGGACATCTGTCATAGTTGATATTAAAGAAATATAGAAAATTATATTTAAAAATTAACTTGTAATTAATATTAAATGGAACATCATTATGTTATGAGTGGCGGTGAATAACATAATGGAACAGGTTTTCCATTGCTTCAATCAATAAGCATTGAAGATAATTAGTTTTGTGTCTTGCTCGCGTGTGCAATGAAAACCCAAGTGCTGTGCCCCACCAATATTCTATTATGCATGAAAATAATAAGATTAATTAGAATAATTTATCTTATTATTTAATATGGATAGAAGTTATTCAGATTATATTGATATAATAGATGAAGTAGAGAATATAGAACAAGTAATAATAACTGACAATAAAATTAAGAAATGCTGTTATTATACATTAGAATTAATAAAATTAGGAATACAATATATCAAAAATAAAAATGTAAATATTAATATAAATGGGAAAAAAGAAAAACAAAAAGAATAAAACGGATACTACAGTTTCTTCAACAGATGAAGACAAAGAAGAAGAAATTGTTAAGGAAACAGCACTAACCGAGTTTGAGTGTCCTATGTGTAAAAAGATGTTAGAAATGAAAAATGAAATAGAAATACAAAAGAAAGGAAATTGTAAATGTTCGTGTATTCCGACAAATTTCAAATTGAGTAAAAACGATAAGAAAATGAATATTGATAAAACCAAAGACAGTATAAATCTGGAAACGGATGTTCATAATATAACTTTTAAATGGGGGAGGCATGCGTCGCCATCCGATAATGGTGATAACGAAGCACAGGAAACTATTAAACAAATGATGAAAATTTAGTACTTAAAGAGTAGATTTTACATTAAATCAATTTTATAAATAAATAAATATTTAAATAAATAATTATATAAATAAATATATATAGAAATGTCTGAAGTTGAAAATGATGTTATTGTTGAACTATCAAAGAAGATAATGACAGTTAGTAAAAATGTTAAACTGTTGTACGAGATGATAAAAACTATTGACCAGAAACTTGATGCAAAGGCAAACGAACCAAAAAATAACAATGAAGAGAAGGAAAAGATTGATAAGATCTTTGAAAAGAAAGGGATAGGCAGACCCAGCGGTGATTATGACACGAAGCGTAAAAAATATTGTGATATGTTAAATAAGGGACAAATCAAAAGTCCAAAAGAACAAACATTAGAATATTATAAACTAATTAAGGGCGATGATGGTAAATATGTAATTGTTGAAAATTAAAATACAAATAGTTCTAATAATATGAATTTATTAGAACTATTTTCAGGCAGTGGTTCTGTTTGTAAAATTGCACGGGATTTAAGTTTTAATGATGATAATCCAATTTTAGCAATTATAATTTAATTATGCTATTTTAATTATAATTTTATTTTATTAATTTAATTTTAATTTATTAATTTAATTTTAATTTATTAATTTAATTTTAATTTATTAATTTAATTTCTTGTAAAAAGTACTTAAAGAAATATTAATTATATATATTATCATACAAATGGTTGTATTTACAGAGGTTGAACAGGAAGAAATTATCAATGAATTCTTAACTTATATTGAACAACAGGAAACTAAAATAATTGATGATTTTTTGAGTGATAATGATAATAAAACAGAAGAAGAAGAAGACGAAGATGACAGTTACGGATTTGTAACTGAAAAACGGTTAGAAAAGGAAGTTACAGAACATCATAAAATGATAAACAATATTGAAACGAAAAATTACATCCCATTAAAACATGCAATGATAAAATATATGGAACAAACCAACAACCAACGAATAATTAGAAATGCTGGAAACTATTCATACAGTCAAAAGACATCCAATTGCTGGTATTTAAGCTTTAGAGAATTTGAATGGTTAATCGAAATAAAAAAGAATGGCAACAAATGGATTTGTAGCAAAGAAAAATTAGATGCAGTTGATTTTAACATATTGTATAAATATAAAATGTTTGAAAGAAGATTTGAATAATTATAAAAAACGAATAAACATAACCTTGCCCATAATATGTCTACAAAAATTGTGATAAAATTTATTGTAAAATAATTTATCATTTTTTTGGAATAATATTTTTTTGAAAATTTATTTTTTATTGTTTTTTGTAAAATTTATTTTTTATTTTTTTGTAAAATTTATTTTTTTATTTTTTTGTAAAATTTATTTTTTAAAATGTATTTTTTAAAATTTTGTAAAATTTATTTTTTAAAATTTTGTAAAATTTATTTTTTAAAATATGGATGAACTTACTAGGAAATTACCTGCTTTAAAATGTTGATTTTTGAAAATGTGCTTTTTGAGGTGCTGTTTTAAAATGTTGCTAAAAGTGTGGGGAGGACCCTAGGTTTTTTTATAGAAAAAAGATGGGCAAGGTCTAGCCTAACTGATGGGCCCCCTGTCCGTGCTTTTCGTGGGGGGTGGGGATCATTGCAGGCTTCGCTACGCATTCCGGAAAAAACACCACTCCAGGAGGAAAACGATCGAAAGCACAACTGGCAGACTGGGTCCCAGCACTGCCGATCCCACCACACTGGACAGGGTGGCTCACAAGACCCAGTCACAAGGGTAGAAAACTGGTTCCTTTAAAGAGGAAATAAGAAGAAACTGGAAGCCACTTTCTACCCTTGTCCCCTTGGTTGACCTGGAGTATTTGTGAGCCACCCTGCTGGAATGGAAAGCAATCTTTCCCGGAACTCCTGCGCAGGAATACCCGGCATTTGTTTCAACATGCAACATCTGGCGCGCCAAGTGCGTGAGTTCAGACAACGCGTTTTTTGCGGCAATCCGCATTGAAAGCCAAGTTGTAAGGTTCAAATAAAAGGCCGTCTCAAAACTATCCACGCATCCTGGCAATCGACGCCAAGCCATCTGCAGCCCGACACTGCACTGTTCAACACATGCGCAGGCCGGCCCGGTAAAGGATGTTCATGCCGTGCATGTGGTCCAATGCCTGCCAGAGCCAGGCAGCAGAGCGGCTACAGTAGATCACTCAGCTCATGGCACCGCTCCTCTCTATAAGGTTTACACCACGTGCCCCTGGCATGTGCCCCAAACGATTCTGCTTGATTTGTAATATACGGCATGTTATATAGATATATATACATGCATTCAGCACTTGAGGGCCCTACTAACCCACATTATTACAGGCTTTGCTCAGACGCGTGTTTCCTCCTGCGGTTGCAACGCTGTTTGGGTAAAACATTGCGATTCTACGGGAAAACCAGGTAGCCCTGGGCAGATTATTGAAGGGAAAAACACCCGACATTCCCAGCTACCCAGTCAAGCAACTCAGTGGGGGCAACGATTGACACGCAAACCAACAGAAATAACAAAAGTTGTAAGTCCTTACCGGGGAGGAACTCGCCCGCCACCGCAAGAGTGAAGCCCGCCGTCCAGCCCCAATATGAATGAAAGCCTTACATAGGCCTTGTATATGCCAAAAGCATTTTGGGCATGTAACAGGGGCACGCAGTGGAAACCTTCGATCCTCTCCGTGCCTCGGTGGCGCACGCCAAGTAGAAGCGTGCGCACACCTCGTTGCCTGGCCCGGCGCGTGGGAGGCGTGGTGTTGGAAGAGGGTGTTATTGGGTTCCGCGTCTGTTTGCGGAGTGCACCAATATTCAATTGCCACTGATGCGATTATTGCCACATGCCCGCATGCCCGCGAAAGACAGAGCGGCACACGCGGCTGCTGATGTGAATGAGATGGAAGAATTTGAATGAGATGTGGATGAACCATCTTCCTCAGATGTGAGCCACACTCAAGCTACCCGTGAATAATAGCACAGGTTGGTACAGCTAGCAAACGACTTGACATCTTTTCAAATCCTCAACTACGTGCCAACTCTACCGATTGGGGCTCACAGCGCTGCTCGCTATACAGCCCCTGTCGAAAGCCTTATAAATGTCCCTGGCATTCTTAAGAGACCCCCTTGAGCTTAATGAACGGCTTGACACGCTTGAGTTTTGTTTTGTCCGCAAGAAACCACTGCTCGTGGCCGGACCTTGCTGCAGTAGACCCCCCTTTTGGTCTTCACCGTGGAGACGAACACAGTATGACCCACTCAACGTCAAAATGAGTGTGTCTCAAAGTGATGCCTGGTTACCATCCGAAAATTAAAAGAAAATGGAACCATAAAACAAACACCGGCGGAACGACACCCCTTTGGTCCGTTCAGCAACCAAGTGCGCGAGCGCGTCGCTCAAACATTCAAAACTGGGCGCGGCCCAGAATTGCAAACGTCAGCGTTCCATAGCGTTCCATAGCGTTCCATCGCAAAAAGGGTGTTCCGAAGAAAAACTCAGCACCATTTCAAGGCCCAGAAACCCAGGCTCCGCTGCGCCAGAGTGAGCATGGCTGCGCGCGTCCAAACCAAGTGGCTTGCACATCTTGCACGATGCGGTCACGAAGGCACGGTGAAATGTTTAGATAATGTGATTGGGGCACGAACCTGTGCCCAGGCAAATGGTTAAGTTGGGAAAACAAGCCACAAAGAAAGGTTCCAAACACTAACCAATCCCTAGTCCCAAAGATCAGGGGTTCCAACGTACAAGCAACCAAACAACCACAAGTAAACCAAAACAAGTATAAAAGAGTTGCCCACAACCTTGGTCGACGATGGACCGCACGAAGGGTTCCAACCAACCTGACGGCGGCCCGAGGTCTCTTTCTCCCCCGAGACAACGTCGGTCGACGCTGGAGTTCGGCGACGCCCATCCGAGGCGTGACGGAACTCGTCAAACTTGAGCCAAACATTGTCAGTATCGACGAATGTTTGAGGGAACAAGCTGGCTCATCGCTACCGCGAGACTCCAGCATACAGTAACATCACATGGCAAATCACACCCCTCTCACGTGGAGTCCGTCTCAGACGGAGGGAGCGTGCCGTTTACTGATAGGAATAATGCTCACATTTCGTCCGCAAACAGCAGGACACTACCGCCATCAGCGGTGGAGCAAACCCACATAGGCAGCTGCGCGACATCCCGGGCATTAAAATCCCGCCACAACCCCGAATTATTCGGGGCAACACTGTCCAACACACCCAGTGGAAAAGCCCACATGACGACACTAGGTCACCACAGTTTGCATCAGAGATGCGAGTATTCATTCGTATCAGAAGCCATGTACCAAAGTACCAATATGTTCCAAATGTACCCTCGCCTACCGGCGGAATGTACATGCGACCGTGCGTATCTCAAAACAATTATACTGTATGGACCATGGAGTACCCTCCGAACGTCCATTTTCCCACTCTCACTTGAAGAACACCAGAGTGACCATCTCCAGCCGCTCAGCTGCGGTTAAACAGGAACATGATCAACTCGCCTCAGCGGTCCGGGAGGGGAATCACCATCATCGCCCAGCGCCGACCTTCGGAGGACGGGACTAGACCTACCGGTCTCTGCCCTCGTGACACCGCCTACCGGCTGTCGTCACGCCTCCTCCGGTCCCGTCCGCCCCGCGTCCGGTCTCGATCACGATCACGATCTGGTCCCCTACGATCGTCCCTTCGCCGTTCCCGGCTTCCTCCGCTTGGTGGAGTATCTCGGCGATCCCTTCGGTCGTCCCTCCTTCGATAACGAGGTTCTCGCCTTCGTGGCCTTCGGGAATCTCTCGAGTCGATGCTCACTGACCTCAACGATGTCGCATGCGATCCACCAGCACTGCGCCTATCGCGTGCAGCCATTGACTCCGCCATCACTCGATTCAGGACATCCAGTGCCAAGTCATCCTCGCCGCGTCTCATGTGGTCCCTGAACCGCCGGCATAACTCCCGGTCTGCTGTACTCAGCAATACCTCGATGGCCTCACTTCCCGGCAGCGCCGCAAAGTGCCCGGGCACGGAAGGTCCAGCATCACGGGCCGCCGATCGCAACCTGAGATCGCCTTCATCAGGTCTCCTCGCCATCGCTTTCGATGCCGTTGTCCTCTCACTTGGCGCCCCTGAAGATCTTTCCAGTGCCGAGTGAAGGTCATCCCCGCTAGCTCCTCTCGCCGCAGCAGCTGGTCGTTCAGCGACTTCATCCAACTGCTTAGATGCTTCTCGCTTTGACGAATCCCTGCCGGGCTCTTCCGTCGGGTTGTCCCACTTGCTGATCCTCTGTCTGGCGCGCCCTTCCCCTCGGCTACCGCCGGATTCGGGCTTGGGATCTTCCGCCTCCTTCTTCACTTCAACCTTGGGCTCCGGCTTGGGTTCAGCAGCCTTGGGCTCCGGCTTGGGCTCAGCAGCCTTGGGCTCCGGTTTGGGCTCATCCTTCCCGGCCGATGCCGGTGCCGACTTAGCAGCGACCGCTGCCTTGGCCTTCGCCACCTTCTCATCCGCGGCCTTGGCCATGTCCAGCCACGACTTGTCTCCCGGAGTCTTGGGAGGATCAACATCCATTGGTGCCGGTCCAGAATCAGCAGCATCCTTAGCCTTGGGTTTGGGAGCTACAGGGCTACCGCCCGACCCGCTCCCCTTTCCCGATCCGCTGCCTTTCTTCGGTGCCTGAGTAGCAGGACTACCGCCCTTTCCACCCTTCTCACCTGCCTTTCCTTTCCCTTTCTGGCCCTTGGCTTCGGCATCTTTGGTCTTCCTGGACTCAGGATCCTTCTCCGGCGCAGGGTCATGGAACGTCTGCAACGTGTTCATATCAACCTCAGCCGGTTCCGGTCTCTGAGCACCGATCACTGTCTTCACCTTCTCTTCATTCTCGTAGACGTGTGGGTCATGCCTGTCGGCCAGCGGCTTCATCTCGCCCTTCTCCCTGGCGATTCTCATCCTTCTCACCGCTTCAGCCAGCCGCTCCGTCTCGTTGAACCTACACGCATTCGCCATGTAGTTTCGCAGCGTCGCCATCAGCCGGTGACTCCCAAGCACATCCTCGTCCTTCCGATGTGTTGGGTAGAGCGGTGTCAAGTGTCCAGCCGCGGCACCAATCACGTAGGCCATGGGAATGTAGAACGACAGGTACACGTCGTGCTTCGGCGGCTTCCTAACGGAAGTCGTCATCCGCCGTCCCCACTTGGCCGCTATCAACGGATTGGCACGGAAGAACTCGCTCACCGAGGGATGCTTGTCCACCTGATCCGTCGTGATGAGATACTTCGCCACAGCCTTCTCCACGAAGAGGTCTGACTCCTTGACTCCGATGATGAAGCTGTTCCTGAACAGCACTTCCTGCACCTTGTTCCAGCCATCCTGAGCACCTCCATCATCTGGGTTGATGTAGCCGGGCAACCTGATTCCGCTCTGAACAGTCAGCCGCAAGTCAGAGCTCATGGAGAATGAGATCATCGTCTTCTTGATGACCCCCACTTCCTCCCTTGCCATAGGCCTCGGGTTGAACTGATTCATCTCCTTCACCCAGTCCGGTACCAAAGGACTCTCCGCAATGGCGCCCTCCGGATTCGGGACAAATCCCGGGTAAAAGATCGGCAATGCACACCCCGTGCACAAATGCAGTCCACACGGAACAATTTCCGCACACCTGAGGCAAAGCGTGGTGCTAACGCACAAGTCAATCCGGTCCCTGGATCGCTGATGCACTCCCCTACCGGGGGCGAAGTCTCCATAATCCCAAACGCGATGGTACAACATCGTGAACTCATCGTGGAAGTACGCGGCCTTCCATGCTCCGACCTGGATCTCCTCCCTAACGGCAAGCGTCTTCCTCCTGGTCAGATACACGGCATCCACCTTCGACCAATACACCCTGAGGTCGACCATCACCACCACAAACCTTCCAGCATAGTTCCTCATCCGGTCCTTGATGTACCAAGATGGCGAAACCTGCGCTTCCGGCCTAATCGGGGCAGTAATCTGCACGAGGCCTTCGTCTTCCCGGCCATCCCCGATGTTGTGGTACTCATCCGGCCTAACGACCAATAACTCGATCATGGCCCTACCGTTCCTCCTGATTCGCTGGATTTGAACGGCCTTCCTGAAGTCCGAGAACTTCATCATGATGTACCCAACTGGAGGAACTTCCTCCCACCGCAGTTCCCACAACAGTGGTCCTCCAATCGCGCTCTTCTCCGTGTACATCTTGCGGGCATTCTGATAACTCAGATCTCTCCCGATCCTAGTTTGCCTAACGGCAATCAACCGGGTGTGCTCCTTCACCATCTCATCCGCTTCGGTGTACATCACCATCAACAGGACGTCCACCTGCCCTACCGGGAATGCCTTGATGACCGGATTGAAGAAGTTCCAGGTCTTTGCCGCATTCTCGATGCCCCCAATCTCCTTGAGGAACCAGATGGACTGGTCAGCGGACAGCCAATTCCCTAGCCACCTTCCATCCGTCTTCAGCCTCAAAGGGTCGAATACCTCCGACGGTTTCTTTGAGTTGACGGTCATCCCATCGAAGTCGGCCGCCATGCACTTCATCAGCATCTCCGCTGTTTGCTTGGCTGCCGGGCTAGGAGCGGTTCTCGTGTCGTAGCCGGGGATATACTCCGCCATCGTGGTCTTAGCCGGCACTACCGCGCGGCAATACCTGACCTCGTTGGGCGCGTCTCCTCGCAAGTTCTCTTCGAGGACACTCCGATCTCCG